GGGCAGGAAATTTAACAGAATAGGTGACATTTAAAGGAGCTGGGAGTTTTTGTCTTTTAGAAGAGTAAAAAGGGTTGGCATCTTACCACTTTCTCCCAGTTTCGGAAAGCCTGTTACAAGGATAAGGGATTGTAGGTCTTCCGCCTGGTCCCTGCGGTCAACGGTGGGGCCAATGAACGTTTCAAGAAGCCAGATTTGGGTTGGACACAAGTCTAGTTGACACAGCTTCCCATCTCTGGGATGATCCATCAGATGTCCAGTCTGGAACCCAGACAGGACAGGGATAGGGACAGAAAGGGATAGAGGCAGGGTCCAGAGGAGATAGGGCCTGGCCCCGCTGCTCCAGGCTCAGGAGGGAATCTGTCCAAAGAGGCACATTGAGCCCGAAGCTGAGCTGAGACCCAAATCTCTGAATCTCAGCCTAATGCTCCATAGCCGTGTCCATAGCTCTGCCATTCTCTGTTCGAGTGACCGTGCACCAGTCAGTTGACTGCCCTAAGCCCTGGTCCTCAAGGCGGATGACAGTGACATTGACCTCTCAGGATCCTCAGAGTACATATTATGTTTGTAAAACATTCAGCAGGGTGCCTTGCACAAGTCTGTACACTAGAAATGGCTATGATTCTCTCTTCCACAAGGCTGCAAACCTGCGGGGGCCAGGCAGAATGGGCTAGGAATGATGAGAATGAGGGGAGCAGGAGGGCTGGACTCCTCGACAGGGGGCAGCTGCTGCTCCACTGATGATCTGCCATGCAGGTTCAGCTAGTATGCTCTGGACAGTGGTTAAATGTTTAAAATTTTATCCTAGGATGGGGGCCTGGGTTGCCCCAATCACTGTTTTCCTGAAGAAGCTGGAAATATGCATTGAATTGTGTTTTCCAAGTCCTGCTCCCTTCATTCTGAGGATATAGTGGAAATAGAGGGTTCAGGCCTCCTAGCTCTAAGCTTCTGAGAGATCTTTTAAGGCACGAGCTCCCCTTGACCGTGCCCTCTTGCCAACAGTAATGACTTGCGCTGACCCTGGTGAGATCACCAACGGGCACCGAACCACCTCCGATGCTGGCTTCCCTGTTGGCTCCCATGTCCAGTACCGCTGTCTGCCAGGGTACAGCCTGGAGGGAGCAGCTGTACTCACCTGCTACAGCCGGGACACAGGCACACCCAAGTGGAGCGACCGGGTCCCCAAGTGTGCCTGTGAGTCTGGGGACACCTGGGATGTGTGGCTGGGTGGCTTGCTCAGCAGTGCAGCTGGCATGTGACTGACATGTTCCCTGCAGTGAAGTACGAGCCATGCCTGAACCCTGGGGTGCCAGAGAATGGCTATCAGACACTGTACAAGCATCACTACCAGGCGGGCGAGTCTCTGCGCTTCTTCTGCTATGAGGGCTTTGAGCTCATCGGCGAGGTCACCATCACCTGTGTGCCCGGCCACCCCTCACAGTGGACCAGCCAACCCCCACTCTGCAAAGGTGCCTGGGCAGACAGGGCAGGAGGAGACATAGTAGTGTTCGGGGAGTGCAGGGCTGAGAAAGTCAGGTAGCGATTTGAGAACAATGGTAATCCTGTCAAGCTCCCCATTCACTTCCCGTGGGCTCTCATCCTCACAGGTACATCCAGAAGTCCTGGGGAAGTTCAAGATCATAAAATTATCCTAATGGATGTTGTAGAAGGGGCTTTAGTTTGGAAGTCTCTTGCCCTCTGGATAGGTCTCAGAATTTTGAAAATTCTACAGACCTGGATAGTTTAGACTGCCTGGGGTTAGGAACCCTGAATTTTTAGGGGTCTGCAGGGGGAGGAAGAAGGCCCTGCCTTGACTCCTCCTCCCCACCCCCACCAAGGGAAAGATAAAGTTTAGGTTGAGCAAAGGGCAGGGAGAACCAGGCTGTCCAGCCCAGCCCCACTGGGCTCCCAGACCTCTACCCAGCCTCCTTCCCTCCCTGGCTCAGACCCCGTCCCCTCCCCCTCCTCTCCCTGCAGTGGCCTATGAGGAGCTCCAGGACCACCGAAAACTGGAAGGTCAGTGAGGGCACAGGTGGAGACCCAGGCCTGGCTGAATCGGGAGGGCAAGGCAGAGGCTGGGGGCAGGAGGCCAGGCCCCAGAGGGGTGAGGCCCAGGGTTCAGAGCCCAGGGCAGGAGGCTGGGAGAGCCCAGGGTTCAGCCCAGCCCCAGCTCAATGGCCTCTTCTCCCACCAGTGACCCAGACCACGGATCCATCACGGCAGCTGGAGGGCGGGAACCTCGCCTTGGCCATCCTGCTGCCCCTGGGCTTGGTCATAGTCCTCGGCAGTGGCGTTTACATATACTACACCAAGTAAGTACCATACTCAGGGAGCTGCAGCCAGGGCAGACATCCTGCCTGCCTGGGTGAGGCGGGCTCGGGGGCTCACCTCTCTATCTCCTCCCTTTCCCAGGCTGCAGGGAAAATCCCTCTTTGGCTTCTCGGGCTCCCATTCCTACAGCCCCATCACTGTGGAGTCAGACTTCAGCAATCCACTGTATGAAGCTGGGGTGAGCCCTTCCCTTACCCCTGGAATGCCACATCTGTCAAGCTCCCCCAGGACTCCATAACCTTCTTTCAAAGTCTCTGTAATATCTATCTTGGGAATTTCAAATTCAACTGCCTACAAAGACCCCATCAATGGTCAAAGCAAGTCTAGTGTGAATAAAAGGGAGTAGTGAGGACTTTGGCTAATTGGAGAATTTGTGCCCCATCTAGTCCATAGTGGGAACAGGCCCAGCTGCCAGATAAGACAATCCAGAGTTCAGATTCTTATGTGACTTTAACATACTGTAGGATGAACCCAACATATCCAATGGCCAGATTCACCCCCACTTCCACCTCATGGGCCCCACAACAGGCAAGGTCTTTCCATTTTTGTGGCCTCTCCCATTTTTCTGCCTCCTCCACCTCCAACCCACTCCAGCAACTGATCACATCTCTCTGTCTCCAGGATACACGGGAGTATGAAGTTTCCATCTGAACCCCAAGACTAAGGCTGCAGGACCCAAGATGCCCCTCCCTTCCTCACTCTGGGCAGGAGAAGTACAGGACCTGGTCTCGGGCTCCTTTCCTGTTGTGTAAATAGTCTCCTGGTCCCACAAGCGGGCTTTGATGGCCCTGGGGACCCTACAGTAAATAAACCAGCATCCTGCCACCCAAAACCTCCTCTTCTCAGTTGCCAAACAAGGGGTCTACCCCACCCTACTGGCTTTTGGACCCTGGCGTGGGAACTCAGCTCCCCTACAACACCCGGGACCCCTCCAGCCAAGGGCACCCCATAAGGACTGCCCCTGAGAGCTCTGCTGTTCCCTTGGCCATGAAGGCTCTGCCCTTCCCAGATGCTCTGGCCCCGGCCTAACCCCTGGGCCTTAGAGGGCCAAAGAGGGATGAAGGGGATAGCTGGGACAAGTCCCCTATGCCACTCCTGCCATCTCACCCATGATCTCTCTCCACCTTTGCTTCTGGATTTTTTGGTTTTGAGCAATAAACAGAAAATCACCATTTGTAACTGAGCTGGTGGGGTATGGGAAGGTGGGTCACTGAGCATTGGTGACAGTGGTGGTGGCCTCTCTGGAGAGAGCTGGGGAAAGGGGAACAATTTGGCCGGGGGGGGGGGTATAAGACTAGTCTCAGGGCAATGTCAAGGGGTCAAAAAACTTGGCTTTAGGGTCAGCCTTTGTGGAAGACCAACTGAGACAAGCCCCCTCTGGGCCTCAGCTCTCTCTCCACCAGGCTTGATGTTTCTAGGCTCTTCTAGCCGGGAGGTGCTGACAGTAGCCCCCTCTCCTCCTTCACTATTTGGCAGGAGACAAACAGCTGTCAATTTGTCTCATGACCAGTTTAACCCCTTTTGAGAGTGTTTGGCCCTGGCCGGTTTGGTTCAGCGGTTAGAGCGTCGGCCTGCGGTCCTGAGAATGTTTGTATTCATACACGTGTACTATCTCTGCCCACCCATCTTTTTGGCATTTCAGTATATCTGCTGTTACGGGTCTACCAAGCATTGGCCATATCTGCAGCATGTCATAAAAAATTAGCTTGGCCCTGGCCAGTTTGGCTCAGCGGTTAGAGCGTCGGCCTGCGGTCCAGAGAGACTGGGGTTTGGTTCCCGCTAAGAGCATGTACCTCAGTTGCAGTTTGTCCCTGGCCCTGGTTGGTTGTGCGGGTGGCAACCACTCGATGTGTCCCTTTCACATTGATGTTCTCTCTCTCTCTCTCTCTCTCTCTCTCTCTCTCTCTCTCTCCCTCCCACTCTGTCTGAACAAAAAATGGAAAAATGTCGAGTGAGGATAAAAAAAAAAAAATGAGCTTGTTTTGTGTCCTGTAAGTGCCCTTTTCTACTTTAATTTTGAACATTATAAGGAATCTATAGCCTGTTTGTCTTAAGGGTCTCCAAATTAATTGAACTTTACTTAATTAAAATTTAATATTTAAATACAATTAAACATTTAGGATCTTCAAAAGGATACTGAAATGCTCAAAAGGGAGTTAAATTTTAGGAGAACATGAGGCAAATTGATCGTGATAATAGTCTTAGTTGGGGGCACTTATTCTGTGCCAGGCACTGTTCTAAGCACTTTGTATGCATTGCTTTTAACCCTCACAAGGACCCTGTGAGGTAAGGACAGTTATTCCCATTTTCAGATAAGGAAACAGGCTCAGAGATGTGAACTGACTTCCTCAAGAAGCTCCAATAGTGGCCAGACTGGAATGTAGATTCAAACTTCACAAAGCCTACTGAACTACCTTCTGGCTAGTAGTGGACCATGGTATGTCCCCAAAGGCATGAGACCCCAAAGCTCAGGGGAGACACCACAGCATTGATTTTGGTGGCAGAGGTGGTACTTCAGAAGCAAGGGTAGACCTGCTCAGATGCCACAGGCCTAGACCTTAAGGTGCTAAAGTTTGGCTAGGAGGCTAGACTGGGATCCACAAGCTCCCCTCTGCCTGCAGGTTGATAGATAACACCCTGAACTAAAACCACTCCGATAATATGCCATTTCAACAATATGCCCGCACATCTGACCAAAAAAAGCCATTCCTCCTGCATCTTCACGCCAGAGAAGTCACACTGGAGCACTGCCTGGGTTGGAAGGAGGGAAAGATCTCTGTCTCTTTATTAAAGCCTTGGATTTCTGGTGGTGTCCTTGCCAGCTGAGAGTGGAAAGGTGTACGATGGTCCAGAACACTTTGGAGACTTCAGGGGTGATGCTGCTCATGACCAGGAGTGCCCCCACAAACCAAAGTGATTAATGAGTTGTGAAAGAGGAGGTCTGAGGTATGTCCTAGAGGGACAGAATGAGGCAGGGCACGAGAGGCCAAGAGCTGCACCAAAAAGGGTTGGGATCATCCTCCAGATGTCAAGCTGCTGGGCAAAGCGCCCTAGAAAAGAAAAAGAGCCTTTGACTCTTTAGACCCAAGGCTCATGTATTTTTTTACCCTTCCATTCTTCACCTGTCCATCTAACCCCTACCCCCACCTGTCTAATTTATCCATCTACCATTCCCCATCTATCCACCCACCGTTCTTCCTCCACCCATCCATCCATCTTTCCACTCATCATCTCTCTGCCCATCCATCTATCCCTCATTCATCTACTCACCCCCCATCTCTCTACCATCTAGGCACTCACCCCCCATTTAGATGTCTTGAAGGCAGGCACTCTACTTGGCTCGCTTCCATATTCCAGCTCCTAGAGCAGTACTGGCACACAGTAAATGCTTCTCAAACATTCGGTGCATTTATCCATTTATCCACTCACCCACTTACCTATCCTCCTCAATCTATTCATCCATTCCCCCACCCAACATTTTGACCACTTACAATGCCCTACAATTCAAGGGGCAATTTGAAGATCTGTAAGCTTCCAAAAGGCTCTTGGGACTACTGGTGGCCAGCAGGTGCCTGAGGAGTATTATTTAGCTCAGGATGAAATCCTCAATTAAGTACCATTTGGGAAGAAGTAAACTACTGTATGGGCATGTTCTCTCTCTCTCCCATTTTTGTCGTGTGGGAGGCAACCCAATTTTTTGGTGGCCTTGCTTTGGCAAGGCAGTAAAAAAACAAAACAAAACAAAAAAAACTACTATATGGGCAGGTAGGGCCCTCACAGGGCACTATGTCCAAGGTTCTCATCTGACATATGGGGATAGGGGAAGCAACTTATACAAGGCTAACTATCAAGTAAATAGCAATAACTATCAAGTAAAAAGCACTATGCAGGCCCAATGATTTTTTGCTACTTCAATCTGTTTCCAACACCAAAGCCCAATTGGGAGAGATCAAATGTCCCAAAGGCTCTAGAAAGTTCCTTGAGGACAAGAACAGTGGCTTGTTGTCAGCTGTATTTGCCTCTGGTCTTCGTCATGAACATTTGAAGTAACAGCCTCTGTCAGAGACATGACTATTCCCATGGCCTGTTGGACCTGACACATAATAGACACTCAATAAACATTTGGTGACTATCAGTTTCTTTTTGGCCTTCTTCATCAACCCCTCTCTCCTCCTCTGCCCATTCTTAGAAGGGGAGGTTCTCCAAGCCTCCATCCTCAGCGCCCTCTTCTTTCTTACTCTGTACACCAGCCCCACCCTGCCCAGGGCAACTGCACACCCTTCAAATGTCACCTCCCTCCTAGTTCAGATCTCTACCACTAGTTAAGACTAGCTCCAATGAGTCTGAAGCCAACTGTCTACAGGGTATTTCCACCTGGAGTTTCTATGGGCACCTCAAGCCCACTCTGTTCAAAGGCGGAAGGATGACTTCCATGCTCCAGGAGGAATGAGAAGGCTGGCGTGACATAGTGGGGTAAACCAGGGAGCAGTTCTAGGCAATGAGGTCAGAGAGACAATGGGGTGGGAGAGGAGAGAAATCATGTAGGGCCTTATAAGGCATTGCAGGACTTTTTGTAGAGTTCTGAACAGAAACATGACATCACCAGACCTAGGTTACCAAAGTCAGAAACCCGGCAGTCATCTGATTCCTGCATTTTCCCCGCTAACATTTCTAATCAATTGCCAAACTCAATCTTCCTGATCTTTATTTCTTTTTTCAATTACAGTTGATATTTGATATTTATATTAGTTTCAGGTGTATAGCATAGTGGTTAGATAGTTATATACTTTACAAAGTAGTCCCCCTGTAAGTCTAGTATCCACCTGGCACCACACACACTTATTACATTATTAACTATATTCCTTATGCTGTATTTTATTTACATTCTTGTGACTATTTTGTAACTACCAATTTGTACTTCTTAATCCACCTTATTCACGCAGCCTCCCAAGTCCCCTCCCATCTGGCAACCCTCAGTTTGTTCTCTGTATCTGTGAGTCTGTTTCTGTTTTGTTTGTTCATTTATTTTGTTCTTTAGGTTCCACATATAAGTGAAGCCATATGGTAGTTGCCTTTTTCTGACTTATTTCACTTAGCTTAATAGCCTCTAGGTCCACCCATGTTGTTGCAAATGGTAAGATTTCATTTGTTTTTATGACAAAATAACATTTCATTGCATTGCATATATGTACCACATCTTCTTTATCCAGTCGTCTATTGATGGACATTTAAGTTGCTTCCATATCTTGGCTATTGTAAATAATGCTGTGATGAACACAGGGATACATATATCTTTCTGAGTTAGTGTTAGTGTTGTTTATTTCTTTGTATAAATACCCAGAGTGGAATTGCTGGGTCATAAGGTAGTTCTATTTTTTTTTTTTTTTTTAAATCCTCATCTGAGGATATTTTTCTATTTATCTTCAGATAGAGTGTGAGAGAGGAAAAGAGAAACATCGACATGAGAGGGACACATTGACTGGTTGCCTCCCACACAACCCCGACCAGGGCCGGGGACCAAGCTGCAACCAAGGTACATGCCCTTGACCGGAATAGAACCTGTGACTCATTGGTCTGTGGACTGACACTCTAACCCTGAGCCAAACCGACCAGGGTGGTAGTTCTATTTTTAATTTTTTAAGGAACTTTCATACTGTTTTCCAGTGTCTGAGCCAATCTGTGTTCCCATCAACAGTGTATACATCCTGGCCAACACTCATTTGTTGATTTACTGATGATAGCCATTATGACAAGTGTGAGGTGGTATGTAATTTTAATTTGCATTTCTCTGATCATTAGTGACTTTAAGCATCTTTTCATATGTCCATTTGTATATCCTATTGGGGTCCTCTGCTCACTTTTTTTTTTAATCCTCACCTGAGGACATTTTTCCATTTTTTGTTCAGATAAGAGTGGGAGGGAGAGAGAGAGAAACATCAACGTGAAAGAGACACATCGAGTGGTTGCCACCCGCATCACCCAAAGAGGGCCTGGGACAAACTGCAACCGAAGTACGTGCCCTTAGTGGGAACCGAACCCAGGTCTCTCTGGACCACAGGCCAATGCTCTAACCGCTGAGCCAAACTGGCCAGGGCTCTGCTCACTTTTTAATTGGATTGTTTTTTGGTGTTAAGTTGGATGAACTATAAATTTTAGACATTAATCCCTTATTGGATATGTCATTAGTGAATATCTTCTCCCATTAGGTAGGTTTGTATTTTTGATTTGTTGATAGTTTCTTTTGCTATGCAAAAAAATTTAGTTTGATGTAGTCCCATTGGTTTATTTTTTGTTTGTTCCCCTTGCCTGAGGAGATATATCCAAAACAAATATTACTAAAAGCAACATCAAAGAGTTTGCTGCCTATGTTTTCTTCTAGGAGGCTTTATGGTTTCAGGTATTAATATTTAAGTCCTTAATCCATTTTGAGTTTATTCTTGTGTGTGATGTAAGAAGGTGGCCTAGCCCTGGCCGGTTTGGCTCAGCGGTTAGAGCGGTCGGCCTGCGGTCCTGAGAGACCGGGGTTCGGTTCCCGCTAAGGGCGCGTACCTCGGTTGCAGTTTGTCCCCAGCCCTGGTCGGTTGTGCGGGTGGCAGCCACTCGATGTGTTCCTTTCACATCGATGTTTCTCTCTCTCTCTGTTCCTCTTTCTCCCTCCCACTCTACCTGAACAAAAAATGGAAAAATGTCCTCGGGTAAGGATAAAAAAAAAAGAAGGTGGCCTAGTTTCATTTATTTGCGTGTATCTGTCCAGTTTTCCCAACTCCATTCATTGTAATTTCTTGCCTCCTTTGTCATAGATTAATTAACCATACAGGCATGGGTTTATTTCTGGGCTCTCTATTCTGTTTCATTGATCTATGTGTCTGTTTTATGCCCGTACCATGCCACTTTGATTACTATAGCCTTGTAGTATAGTTTGTTATCAGGTAGCACGATACCTCTGTTCTTTCTCAAGATTGCTGTGGTTATTTGGGGTCTTTTGTTGTTCCATATAAATTTTAGGATTATTTGTTCTAGTTCTGTGAAAAATACCATTGGTATTTTGATAGAGATTGCACTGAATATATAGATTGCTTTGGGTTGGTCTTTATTTTTTATATCTGCCCCTGTTTTCATCTCTATTATCACTGTGACAATTCAGGACCTAATCATCTCTAGCTTAGTCTCTTGGAATAATTTCTAACTGGCCTCCCTGACTCTTGTCTCTCCCCTTTCCAGTTCACTCTCCCCACTGACCACCAGAATGACCAATCAAAAATTCCAACCTCTTGCCCTGGCCGGTTTGGCTCAGCAGTTAGAGCGTTGGCCCATGGACCAGAGAGTCCCGCATTCGGTTCCCACTAAGGGCACTACCTCGGTTACAGTTTGTTCCCGGCCCTGGTTGGGGTCGTGTGGGTGGCAACCAGTTGATGTGTCTCTCTCACATCGATGTTTCTCCCTCTCTCCCTCCCGCTCTATCTGAAGATAAATACAAAAATGTCCTCAGGGGAGGATAAAAAAAAAAATTCCAACCTCTCTCGCTCAAAACTCTTCAATGACTCCTCAGGTAGGAAAACATCTATGGATCTTAAGGCACACATAGGGTCTTAATAAGGTGTCTTCATTAGTCCGTGGCTACAAAGGTCTCTTGATTTAGCCCCTGGCTACCTTGCCTGCATACTCCAGCAGTTCAACTGCTCTGGGCCCACTTTCTCCCCTGCCCTAAGAACACACACACATACCCACACTCACTCTACTGAGACTCACCTCTGTGCCTTTGCTAACACAAGCCTGCCACTTGCAATACCCCTACGTTATAACCCGTTTTATCCCCGTAGAAAGTTCTTCCTGTAGGTGTCACTTCCTCCAGGAAGCTCCATGAGTCCTTTTGTTTCTGTCCCAACCGAGACTGGGATAAGCACTTTTCTTGCTGTTTCCATTTCTGTTATGGGTACTCGCCCATATTATATTGTAATTGGCTATATACTTGACTGGCCCCACACGAAACTGTGAACTCTACAAGAGCAAAAACTGTATCATTCCTTTCCGTGTCCCAAATTCCTAAAACAGGAACTGACATATCATGCAAACTCTAAGTGTTTGGTTAATGGACCCTGTACATACCTTGTCATGAGGGGATGGCAGAAGGTATGCCTTGGTGCAGGTACAGTTTTTGTCAGAGCTAGAGATGGTAGAAGGGACAGGAGACAGATGAGAACTCTGAATTTGAGGGTCAGAGCAGAATAGAATAGGACTACATGGCTTAAAAATCCCCCTATCCTGCTGGGATGTTGTCCAACCCTTGCTCTCTCCCTTTACAGGCTCATCTTTCTCCCAGGACAAGGGGCATCTCCCTTGCAGCCTCACTCACCAAGTGTCGGTGCCTTGGGTCTTGGTGACGAGCTCTGGAAATGGAGGTCCCAGTCAGAGAAATTACTATCCCCTAATTACATACCCAGAAAGAGAAGTGGCTAGGGAGGAATGGGCGGGGGTGATTCCTAACTAGCAGTGAGGAATGGGTACTGGGTTAGTGGGTAGGGGTAGTCTGGCTGTGAGATGGGGAGATGGGCACAGATTCCTGGAGAAGTCAGTTATGGTTGGGAGGGAGTCCGGAACTGGAACTAGAGTAATGGGAGAGAGCACCCAGTGGTCCTGAAGTGGGGGGATCACCGTGTTTGGATAACTGAGTTCCTTGTTCCTGTGTCTGTTTTTCCTTGGTGGGCACAGGGCTCATGTGGTAACCAGCAATAAACAAGGCCTCATCGGTGAGTTCTGTGCTGATCCGAGCCAGGAATTCCTCAGAACGGGATAATGAAGCCTTCTGATAAAGGGAAAGTCAGAAGGGCTCAGCCGGGGAGTTCCTACATGGGAGTACTGGGTCTGGGGGCTTCCAGACTGGGGGCCTTGCATTTAAGGATTCGGGTATTGGAGGGCTGGGCCTTGAGATTTGGCCTAGAAGGCCCTGTAAGTGGCGGGTAGTCTTTGGGGGCCTCGGGGCCTAGTGCTGGGGGCTATGGGACAGAGTCTGGTGGGAGAGGTCTCAGAGCCCTTAGCCTGGGTGCTCTCTACTTCAGATCACCCCCCACCTCGAGAACTCCCCTCCAATGCTCACCGAACTTCCACTCAAGGATGTTGCAGCTTGGGACAGCCTGCTGCCCTTTTTCTCCTTATTCCTGGTATGAGTGGATTCCATCCCCCTGGGAACAGTTGTAGTGTTTGTTAGGTTGAGAAACCAGCTCACTTCCCCCAAACCCTTCCCAGCACCCTTCCCCAAGCCCAGATTTAAACGGATAAACCATCCTGTCTCAGTTCTCTCCCGAAGGGGTGGGGGTGAGGGGTGAAAAAAAAGAGAAAAAAATCGTTGCTTTAAATCTTCCTGGGGTAGGAAGTTCCACAACGATCCCCCGCTTCGCCCTGGGGGCCCTCTTTCCTTCCCACCCAAAAGCCCTTCCCAAGACAAGGCAGCCAACTTGCCGCCCCCGACCTGGCTGATGGGTTGAAATCTTGGGCTACTCGACAGGGGGAAGACGGGGAGGTTTAAGAAGCCCCTATTCTAGGTGGCTGGGGACGGGGAGTTGGAGTGGGGAGGAAGGTAGGAGATGGGAACTCCGGGAGGCGTCGCTGCCCGTTGCTATACAACCCTTAGTGCCGCGGAGGTTCCGCAGCCCGGTTGCCAGGAGATTAGGGGTTCTAGAACAAAGGCCGGGTGGGGGGCGAGTCACACTCGTTCCTCCGGCTTCTCCACCCACCTCCAGGTCCCTGTTTGGGGGCAGTGACCCCGGAGCCCGAGGCTGGAGAAACTTGGGAACACCACTTAGGGTGGAGCCTGGAATCTAACTCTCCTACCACTAGAGGCACGCAAGAAGCAACCTCGCGCAAGACCTGCCTTCAGCCTCTCTAGCCGTCGTCTCATAGCGTTGGAGCCGGCGAGAGCCAATGAGGCCTGGGAGAGAGGGGGCGGGGAAGAAAACTACCTGGACTGAACTAAATAACCGTGCCTGCTGGGGACGTAAAGACTCCGGAGGGCGGAACTTTTTCTCCTTATCTTTGTCTCCATGTAGTCACACCCTCCTCACAAAACAAAGTAGAGATATTTATCCAGGCCTCCTACTCTTTGGACCTTTCCTTTTCCGTTTCTTCCTTCCCTCGGAGTCGATGCTTCTTTGCCCCCTCTCCTCCCTCTGTACTTTGGTACCAGCCGATGGAAAGGGGCGGGGAGAGGAAAAGGAAAAGGAAGCGGGCAGGTCTTAAAGGAGCCGCAGCCATTTTTTTTAAAACCTCTTTTCCTCCCTCCTATTTTGGAAGCAAGAGCGCAGAAGAGTAGGTTCTCGGAAGCTGAGCGCAAGTGGAGCAGGAGGGACCGCAGCTAGAGGCTGCAGCGCTTGCCGGGAGGGCGGAGGCGAGGGCCTGCCCATAGGAAGGGCGGAGTGTGCGCGTCCCCCGCGCCTTGCAATCAGCTGGGGCGGCCCAAGCTCCGGCTCGCAGCGAGTTTTAGCATCTGGGGCCGAGCAAGGGTAGCGGGGTCTGCGCGCAGTTGGCGCGGCCGGTGCGCTGGGCCCAAGGGTGGGGCCGCGCGGCGGGGCTGAGACAGAACTGGCAGCTCCGGATCCGGCCAGGGAGTCGTCGCGATGCCCAGCGAAAACATCTTCCTGTTTGTACCTAACCTAATTGGTGAGTGCTGCCCGCGGCTCCGGGCGGAACGGGAGAGAGGCCTTGGGCAGCCTTCCTGATCCCGCCCCATCTGTCTCCCCCTTCTCATCCCAAGGTTATGCCCGGATTGTCTTCGCCTTCATTTCTTTCTACTTCATGCCCTGCTGCCCCCTCACGGCCTCCTCCTTCTACCTGCTCAGCGGGCTTCTGGACGCTTTCGATGGACACGCTGCTCGAATCCTTAATCAAGGTGACAGACAACTCTTCCCAGCCAACCTTGAGGCACAGCCACCCACTGCCCCCTTTTCCTGCCTCCTCAGGATCTAAGGGTGGGCAGGTACTGTGGAATCGGGGCTCCGTCATTTCCATCTCTATAAAGCAGAACTGAATGGCCTGGTTTTGTAGCAGAAGGGACTTAAGCTAGCTCTTGAGAAGAACCCACTGATGGTGGGTGATGTGTAGTAGCAAGACTAGATGGACATGGCAGTGGCAGTGCTGGAGGTCTCTGAATTAATATCCATTCAACAGGTATTTGCTGGATGTCTGTTGTGTGCCAGACACAGCAATTGCCTGTTTACTGGGAAGATGGAGAGGGAAGGGAGTGGCTTCTGGAGGCTTGACTGTGTTCTCTAAACCACCTCCAAGACTTCATGTCTTCTTGTCTTGAGTTCTGGACCCTTGGTTCTGGAATTGCTGAGTTACTTGTAGCTTTTTCACTCCCTCTTCTACTCTTTTTTCACACCCCCATGCCTCCCCATTTCATGTGACCCTTGCCCATTGACCGTGCACCCCATGGAGAGCAGCCTGTTTTCCTCACTACCAGTGGATGGTGGACATTTTCCATCTCTTAGACTTTGCATCAGAGTGATGCACCAAATACGGCCCCTGTTGTAGATCCACTGGCCCCTAACAGTCCCTTTCCAACTAATAGGCCCCATTTTTCAGGGACCCGGTTTGGGGCCATGCTGGACATGCTGACAGACCGCTGCGCCACCATGTGTCTGCTGGTCAACCTGGCCCTGCTGTACCCTCGCGCCACCCTTCTCTTCCAGCTCAGCATGAGTTTGGATGTGGCCAGCCACTGGCTGCACCTCCACAGGTCTGCAACTCTGGGGGAATTGAGCAGCTTAAGAAGACACTACACTGGGGAGGGGTGAGACTATGGGAGAGTGTCTGGGATGGCTTCAGGCTTCATGAGTGGTCTCCTTTTTAGTTTGCTTTGTTGAAAAACCGTGGGCAAATCCTCTCCGGGTCAGCTTCAGTCCTGCTTACAGTTGGGATTAAGCAATCCCTAAAACTCTTCTGACTGGGTATTCAAGGATTCCAAATAGATACCAGCTGTTAGGAAGGGGCATGGGGGCTTTTGAATGTGGCATTTGAATCCTGACTCTGTCCCCGACTAGGTGGTTGTGTGGCTTTGAGCAAGACAGTGGTCCTCAGCTGGGCTCCAGGTCCTCTGTACAACAGAGGCAATCCCAGTACCTTCCTTGTGGAGGTTGCTATGAGGATTAGATGGGTGTCAGTGGTGGTGAACACTCATGGATTCCTCTACTTTCTCTCCAAGTTCTGTGGTCCGAGGCAGTGAAAGTCACAAGATGATTGACCTGTCTGGAAATCCAGTGCTTCGCATCTACTATACCTCCAAGGTGAGCATTTCCTACCCCTTCCTTGTTTATTAAGCTTGTGCCAAATCGTGGGCTGTGCCCTGGTCAGAAGTTAGTACAGGGTACAAGCACAGAGGAGGGACAGCCAACTCGGGAGGAGAGCCCTATAAGCTGAGGTGCGGAGGAGGGTAGGATTAGTGGGGAGAGCTCGTGTGAATTGTTCCAGGCGGCAAGTGGTTTTTATATTTTTTGTTCAGATAGAGTGGGAGAGAGATAGAGAGAGAGAAACATCGATGTGAAAGGGACACATCGAGTGGTCGCCACCCACACGACCCAACCGGGGCCGGGGACAAACTGCAACCGAGGTACGTGCTTTTAGCGGGAACCGAACCCGGGTCTCTCCAGACTGCAGGCCGACACTCTAACCGCTGAGCCAAACCGGCCAGGGCCAGCAAGTGGTTTTTAAAGAGAGAATTTATTTGCTGAGATTGCTCTTTACTCCTCCGCCCAACCGCACCCTTATTTCCCCCAGTACAGTTCCAGCTCCCCATCCTTAGAGAGTGTTGGCCCCCTGTCCCTGTGTGTGTGTGTTGGGCGGGGTGCACACTGCCCTACCCTCTTGTTTAAGCAGCCTGTGTGCTATTTGCGCAGCCTGCTCTGTTCACCCTGTGTGCTGGCAATGAGCTCTTCTACTGCCTCCTCTACCTGTTCAGTTTCTCCGAGGGACCTTTAGGTAAGAGATGAGGGAGTGGGCTGGAGGATAGGGTGGTTCTGGCCTGCCCTGGGAGATGAAGGCCAAGGACTCGTGGGCTCCCTCCCTTGCCTGCACCCCATTTTCTCAGTATTGCCCTTACTCCCTTCCCACAGTTGGCTCTGTGGGTCTTTTCCGAATGGGACTGTGGATCACCGCCCCTATTGCCTTGCTCAAGTCCCTCATCAGTGTCATCCACCTGATCACAGCTGCCCGCAACATGGCTGCCCTGGATGTGGCAGACCGTGCCAAGAAGAAGTGACCCTGGAATTCAGCCTCTGGCTGCTCACCTGCCCTGGGAGTCTCACTGTGCCACGCGGCTCCCGTCTCCCTCCTAGGAGGTCCAGGCTCATGTCTTCCTAATGTGTTGTCCAACCCGCGGGAAGTGGGTCAGCCTCTTTAGTGATGTCATGTTCTCCGAAATCCTGCAGGCCAGTTCCACCCCTGGACTCGAAATTGGGAAGGACTCTCAGGAACTCCCGCCCACACAGGCAGTACTTCCAGGGCGCCAAGAGGCTTATCTAAGAACTGGGCATTATCACACCTGCTGGCTTAGCCCCGGGGTCTGGTTTGGCCTGAGACTTCAGGGACACTTGCATGAGGGAGATGGGGCAAGGGCCAGGTTTCCCAAAGACAGGGAATCAGAACTCTGCCCCTGGCCAGAGGACGCCTGTGAGTACTGTGGCTGGGAGACTAGAAGCCATCTAGACCTTTCCCCATTGCAGTGTCCTTTGTCCAATGGATCCTAGCTCTGAAAGCCTCGATAATAAAGGCGGGGCTTCACTGTCCTGGACTTGCTTCCATTTGAAATGCTCTTGGGCTAGGGCCTGAGTTGAGGGGAGCTTGGGGAAGAAGGAAGATCCCTCTGGCTGCTTTCCCTCCGTGTTTACTGGCTAGCTCCTTTCTGTCATTCCGTAGAGACCGCAGAGAGAGACCCTCCGGGCCACCCAACATTGTCACATCCTCTTGCCCACCTGCTTTATTTTCTTTATGGTACTGTCACTGGCTGTCTACATTTATTTGTATACCTGATATTTTCTACTCCCACAAGAATGTAAACTCCATGAGGGCACTGACTTTTCTTGTTCCTTCTCTATCTCTACATTGAAGATTAACCTTAACCTGGCCTATCGTAGCTGCTTAATAAATATTCACAAGTAGATCACTTGGTTTCTCAATGCAGTCCTTAGACCACCTGTGGGATTTTTTTTTTTTAATCCAGCTTCTAGGACACTGCACCAGAGTTGGAATCTCTAAGGATGGGCCCAGAAGTCTGCAATTTTAATAAACTCCAGGTGATTGATTCTTCCCAAGAAGGTTGAGAATCCCTTCTTAAACATTTTTTGGGCACCTACTAGATGGTAGACATTGTTCTGGGCATCTGTCCCTAACAGCTACCCCTACCATCTGAGCTTTCTCTTCTGTCTGGCACTGGCTTTTTTTTTTTTTTTTAGACTATATTGAGCCTACCATATGCCAGATCCTGTGCTTGTGCTGGGGTTGTTCGCAGCTGTTATTCATTTTATTCTTATAATAGCTTAGACAAGAGGGCCCCATGTCCAGGAGAGCTTAAATGTAGCAGGTGTGTGCTGAGCCTCAACCCCTCTACTAAGCCCTCATGGAGGTCACAGGCTAGCAGGGCAAATGATAATGTGGTTAGGGAGGTGTTTGTTGGGGGATGGGAGTAGGAAGTGCTGTAGCACTTAGGTGCTGGTGAAGGGTGTGGGCATCTTAGGAAGCTGGTAGGAGTTGGGGCCAGAAGAATCAACGCAGAGGAGAGGGCTGGTTTTCAGCTGAGAACAGGGAGGCCAGAGTGTGGTTTTCAGAAATGGAACCTGATGAGATCATGTTGCTGGAACATGCTGGGGGTTGGAGGGATGGAGACTGGTGAGAGATTGAGGGGAGCCGGCAAGCAGCCTGAGGAGCCCAGTAGGGCATTTGGACTTTCCTGAAGGCACATGGAGCCACTGAAGGAATCTTTCAAAATAATAGCCAAATATTCACAGGATAAAAAAATTGCACATTATAAGAGGATGATGAGCCCTGGCCAGTGTGGCTCGGTTGGGCTTTGTCCAGTGCACCAAAAGGTCACCTGTTCGATTACTGCTCAGGGCACATGCCCGGGTTGCAGGCTCAATCCCCAATAGGGAGCATGCAGGAGGCAGCCGATCCGTGTTTCTCTTTTCTCCCTCTCTAAAAATCAATAAAAATACTTTTAAAAACAAAAAGGATGATGACGTCAACTGCCACCTTAAACTCTTCCCCAGAGGCAACCACTGCTACTCATTGCTTATGTGTCTCTGTCTAAATTCTTCACGCTTACACAAATCTTTCCATACTTTAAAATTTTTATATATACTGTTCTTTTTTTTTTTTTTATCCTCACCCGAGGATATTTTTCCATTTTTTGTACAGATAGAGTGGGAGGAGAGAGAGGAAGGGAGAGAGAGAGAGAGAAACATCGACGTGAAGGGACGCATCGAGTGGCTGCCACCCTCACGACCAACCAGGGCCGGGGACAAACTGCAACCGAGGTACGTGCCCTTAGCGGGAACCGAACCCGGGTCTCTCTCGACCACAGGCCGACGCTTAAACCGTTGAGCCAAATTGGCCAGGGCTATATACTGTTCTTTTAAGCTACTGCTGTCCCAAGTGCCTCTTGCTTGTATTATCCCATCTCACCTGCTACCTACACTGTACTGTGTACTAAACAATACAGCAAGCCTTTACCTACCCATTTTCTAAAAAGAAAAGGTCCTGGGAAGAAGGAGGCCAACGTGGCTGACTTGGCTCCAGAGCCTTAACGTTTACCATACACAGCAGTCAACATAGTGGCCTTAATGGTGGCATGGAATTCCATTATTTGTCTAACCAGGTCCTTCCATCAAACAATGCTGCAGTAAACTGCCTGGACTCGGGGGTGGGGGACACTTGTAGGATGAATGCTGAGTGTTAGGACTATGACAGGTCCCCCCACCTGACTTGCTCCCAGTCAAGGTGTGAGAAGACCATCCTTCCTGAGTCAACTCCTCCAGCCAAAGGAGTCCCCTGAGCCCTCAAGCCCTATGTCCCTGAATGGCTCCTGGCTCTTGGACCCTAACCATTTACAGTGAAGTCGGGAGTCTAACTATGTGAGTCCAGCTACCTGGCCTGGAAAAGAAGAGGGGGAGTTGGGCAGGAGTGTGAGCATCTTCCCCTCTAGAATATGTACCGAGGCCTGAGGGGCCAACACCAAAGACAGCTTGGTGCCTTTGGCCTCATGTCCAGTGGCCAACGGCTCAGGAGGAACCTGCCGAAGACAAGCCTGTTTACAGCCTGGGATCAGGTGGCCCTAGGACCTCCTGGGGGAGGAGTGGGGAAAGTCTAGGCTGAATTGGAATCATATTTGATCTGAGGAATATAGTGGTCACATTGCTATGGTCTGAATGTCTACATGCTTGCAAAATTCATACATTGAAACCTAATGCCCAATATGATGGTATTTGGAGGAGGGGCCTTTAGAAGGTGATTAGGTCACAAGCCCTCATGAGTGGGGGTAGTGCCCCTTATAAAAGAGGCCTGAGAGAGAGCTCTCACCATGAGAGGACATAGCCAGAGGTGTGTCTATGAAAAGGAAGAGGGACCTCACCATGCTAGTGCCTTGACCTTGAACTTGCAGCCTCCATAATGGAGAAATACATTCCTGTTGTTTATAAGCCATCCAGCCTGTGGTATTTTGTTATAGCAGCTTAGATGGATTAAGATATGTGCAGCAATAACTTTCGGGAAGTCAACTATATGCTTCAGACTGAAAGAATAACCACCACGCAAGACATTCCACTGGCTCCCTCCACTCAAGGGCGCTGCCTCAGCGCAGCCACAGGAGGAGCACCAGGTGGTCTCCAGTCTCCTGGCTCTCGTACTGTGATTAGTTAAATGTACCCTAACTGCTCTATCAAACTTCAAGATGTACAGTGGCTCACACATGGTAGAATAGACGTTTACTTTTACCTTATGTTAAGCCCTAATCATGCTCCTGACTGTGAAGTAGCTCTCCTGACACGGAGGTTTGGGGACTCCCATCTGATGGTTGCGTACGGCTTGTTGCCTGTGCAGGCCAGGAGGTGCGCCTGGAGGGCTGCACAGCCTGCATCGCTTGGGAAGGAGAACGGCGCGTACTACTTCCACTCGCGTTCCATGGGCCACATCTGTGTGCAAGGGAGGTGGGGAAATAGAGATGAGTTGTGGGCCTAGGACGAAGGGAAAATCATTTGGTAAACAACATCTTACCATGCTGAATGTGATTTTGCTCTTTAAAGACGAATTTTTCTTTTACTAGGGATCCATAAACAAATCCATTCCTTTATTTAGCGAAGAAAAGCCATTTGCTCCACTGCCGGAGAAAATCAGGCCATATCGAACTTCATCAGAAACCACACTGTTCTGTGTTTTATGGGCAGTTTAAGGGACCTCCAGGGATACATTCAGCACCAGGGGACCGAGAATCCGGCTCCAGCACAACGCCACTGTTATCTCCATAGTGGCCCGTTTCCCTGCCACTGAGGTGGATCTCGCCTCCCTCACCACACGTCTGCACGGAGCCCATCTGCATGCATACAGTTTAAAGAGCAGCTTCCTCTCTTACCTTACAGCATCTCACACTTTGTGAGGCACCTGTAGTAGTCAGGGTAAGCTAGTTTGTGCTGTGGTAATAACCCCATCCCCCAAGCCTCAGTGATGTAACAAAGCAAACATTACTTCTTGCTCCTGCTGCATGTTTCTTGTGGGTGAGCTGCCTCTCTGGGACCCAGGCTGATAGAGCAGCCTCCACATGGAACATTGCCGTCACCATGGAAAGGGGGAACGAGGATGGTGATGTCACTTCCCCCTGAATTTCATTGGCCTGAACAAGCCATAAGGCCAGGCCTGATAGCCATTAGAGATTCACGTGGAGACATGAAGTCCAATGGAAATGAGCCCAGACCTCAGTGGTGAGATCCGAGACGGCGAAATGGGATTTTGAAGTTAGTGGCCTAGAGGTGATCTAAAGTGATGAGACTGGCCAAGAATGTAGCTGAGGAGGGGAACCAGGTTCAGGGTGACTCCCAATTTAGATTCTGCAGAGGAAGAGGAGCTGGCCAAGGAAGCTGAGGAGCAGCCAGTGAGGTGGAAAGAAAAGTGGAGCAGGCGGGGTCAGGGGCACCGTGTGGAAGGGGTGGACACTGCCACATGGTGGGAGAGGCTGAACAAGGAGAACCTAACTACTGGCTCTAGCAACAGGGACATCCTTGGTGATGCTGATTTGAGCAGTTCCATGAAGCATGGGGTGGAGACAAAAGCTAATTGGAGTTGCTTGGGGAAATAATAAGAGATGAAAAATGGACACAGAGCCCTGGCCGGTTTGGCTCAACGGTTAGAGCGTTGGCCTGTGGTCCAGAGAAACCTGAGTTCGGTTCCCACTAAGGGCGTGTACCTCGGTTGCAGTTTGTCCCCGGCCCTGGTTGGGTCGTGTGGGTGGCAGCCACTTGATGTTTCCCTTTCACATCGATGTTTCTCTCCCTCTCCCTCCCTTTCCACTCTACCTGAGCAAAGAATGGAAAAATGTCCTCGGGTGAGGATAAAAAAAAATGGACACAGAAATTTGGCTGCGAAGAGAACATAAAGGAAGGGTGGCAGCTGGAGGGAATGTGGGGCTGGGGGAGTTTCCTCGTTGGTTCTCTAAGGAAGAGAGAGGAGCATGTTTGTATGCTGGTGACAAGCGTCCCAGGGAGGAGGAGGATTGGCAGAGCAGGAGAGGAAGGTGATGGATGCAGGACTCAGGACTTGAGATGGGTGGGAACTGGAGCCCAGGGGAGTAGCTGTGCTCCTGGGAATAGAAGGGAGGACAGAGTCCGGGTGTGGGTAGTTGGGTAGTTTGGTAGGTAGCTCCCTGGATTTGCTGGGGTGGGGAGGGCTTCCTGCCCAGTTTTCTTCTATTTTCTCAAAGAGGTGAGGGAAGGTGGCCAGGGGTGTGGAAAGCTGAGAGGAGAGGTGTGGAGAGTCGTCCTGAAGGGGATCCGACAAGCTCAAGGAGTATAGTCAGAGGGCATTAGGTCTCCTTAAAATTGATTGCCACGAGTTTAAAATGAGATCAGTCAGCATACGGGGTGCTCCCCCTCCAGCAACACAGCAGGTCAGGGCAAG